GTAACTTCTAAACGTCCTGTTTCTCAACTTTATTAAACTGAATTTTTGGGGAAGGATGAGATCAAAATCAAAGGGTATAACATTATGATGAGTCGTTTTTTTTTTTTTTTTTTTTGCTGTGCTGGCTTGAAATGATTTGCAAATTAATTTGAAATTAAATTTGTTAATTAATGAAATTGAAATTTGAACAGAAATATTAAAAAAAAATGATAAATGTTTGTGATTATTCTTACGTCACCATATTGTGCGAAACCAAATTGCTATCTGTTTATCATGATTTGTGAATTGAAAAACTTATCTGTTTTGGTTCAAAACGTCAGGTTTGAGCAAAACAGATACTTGACTGAAAGGAAATCGTGTTTCGCTTCAGATGTTTTTGTGTGGTGTTGACCGCTGTCCATCGTTAGGTCTTCGACTTGCTCAGATGTTTGGACCGTTCAAAAGGACCAAAAACTTATGGCCTTTGTCTTAGAACCTTTACCTCGGATCGTCAGAGGCTTGTCACACAACATGTTTGTGATATTTTCTGGTCACGAGACGGTTCAAAATGTTGTCAAATTTTTTTGATTGTTCATGTTGAACGAAATTTTTTTTTTTGGATTTTGACTGTTTGAGAGATAGTGGGTGGTCTGATCTGGATAAGAAAAATTTTTAATCTTTTTTGGTTTTGACCATTTGAAGGATGGTGGGTGATCTGATTTCCTTTTGGAGAAAACAATAAAATTGTTTTGATTAATGAAAAATTTCCTTTCTGGAAAACAAATAAACGTGTTGATCGGTTAAGAAAAAAAAGCTTAGTTGATTTTTTTTAAACAATTGAAATTTTTGATACTTGCATGAAGCTTATTCTTTTATGGTGATGTTCGATCAAATTGATCTTTGATCTGAGATAAAAATAAATGAACACGAGGAAAAGATCAGGACAAAAATTTTAAACAATTGAAATTTGCAAATGGTTTTTGATTCACATTAGTATTAGGGTTCTTCTTTGCAAAGTATCTTGCATGAAGCTTATTCTTTTATGGTGATGTAGGCTTGAAAAAACATCTGTTCGATCAAATTGATCTTTGATCTGAGATAAAAATAAATGAACATGAGGAAAAGATCAGGACAAAAGATTTTAAACAATCGAAATTCGCAAATGGTTTTTGATTCACATGAGGGTTCTTCTTTGTGAAGTATCTTTTTTACTTTTAATTAAGAAAAAAAAACCTTAGTTATTTTTTTAACAATCAAAGCTTATTCTTTTATGGTGATGTAGGCTTGAAAAAAACATCCGATCAATCAAATTGACCTTTGATCTGGGATAAAAATAAATGAACACAAGGAAAAGATCAGGACAAAAATTTTAAAAACAATCGAAATTTGCAAATGGCTTTTGATTCACACAAGGGTTCTTCTTTGCAAAGGATCTTTTTTTCTTTTAATTAAGAAAAAAAAAGCTTAGTTATTTTTTTAACAATCGAAATTTATTCTTTTATGGTGATGTAGGCTTGAAAAAAAATCTGATCAATCAAATTGACCTTTGATCTGGGATGTATAAATAAATAAATGAATAAAAAACAAACCAATTCGCCTTTCGAATATTTTTTACTCACTTGCTTTTTTTGCATATTATTCCTTTAATAATTTTGACTACTTTAATAATTTTGATTATTTGCTATGTCGTGTATCTTGTCATCTATAATGTTCATCAAGTCAGCCAGTGGATCACATACGGTGACTGGGGTGGCTGTATGCCGTGTGGATGAACAAGAGTATGTGGAGGTCAATTACAAAGCATTTAGAATGAACTCCGCTGACAACAACCTGGTCCATCAAATAGAAAAACACCAAATAATGTCCATTGTGGGCAAGTTTCTGTTCGTTTCTGGTCAAGTATACGTAAGTATATTTATGCTGTGTGTGTGTGAAGGAAGTGTTTTGTTCCTTTACGCCTAAACTAACTTGACAATAAATATTTTCGCAGGTAATTGTGTTAAAGGTGGTAGATCTTGACCTAAAAACAACTTGCGAGGAACCTGGAGTCCACTACCTCCCAATTACCCCATTGTTTGCTTCATTTTGTGCTCCGTGTGTTGCAGAAGCAGTGGCCACTGATGACGAGTGTAATTTTTTTGTTCTGGGAAAGAAAATCTACAATACGTTCACTTCCTCAAGCGAAGACGTTGAGATCCCTTGCGTCTATGACCACTCAAACCCAAGATTTTCTGCAATTGCGGAAGCGTCAAAAAAGGCACTGATCTTTAGCGCTGCTGGAGAATTGTTCATAGGCGAGAACCTTGCACAAATAATTTGCACCGAGGTCGATTGGGTATTTCCAAAAGTGAAGAATGAACAGGTTTCGCCTGGAAAAAGCATGCGCAGGCAAAAGTTTCTGAGCATAGAGGAGAAGTACGTAGGCAAGAAGTCAAACAATAGGCGCAAAGTCAACAATACGTCATCATCGTCATTGTTTGCGTCATCATCCACATCACCGTCGACCTCAACATCAGCCGCCGCTACCAACACTGTAGAAAATAATAAAAGACAAATAGTGGTGGTTGATGACAATGAATCTCACAAAAAAGTTTGCACAGAGCTGGGTCCACTGAACAGGCCCATCACAAGAGCAAAAGCCTTACAAACGACGATGGATCAAGTTAACAGAAAGGGGAAAGGACCCGAGTTGCCATGTTCCAATGACGAAGAGGAAGACCTTGATCTTGATCACTGATCAAACAATGAAGCATACAGCGATGATGAATGATCAATGTTTTTGGCTTGCTGTTGTGTAATGAAGAAGTAAAAAATTTTTTTTTTAATATAGATTATTTTTTTTTTGTGATCAATCGATCAATATCTTAGTTTTACTGATTTGAAAAACAAATAAAGAATAAAAATCTAATCTCCAATCCTGATTTGCGTAAAACGTGATGATGCTCACCCTCGATAAATTGTATAAAAAGAATGCGTTTGGGACATCTTGTCTAAAAAATAAATTTTGTTGAAAAAAAATTGTCAATACAAAATAAAAAAAAAAAACCATGAATAATTATCCCATTTCGGATTTTATCGTTCCTGATCCCGATACTCATCGTGTTAATAATAATAATAATAACGCTCGTGATGTTTTGTTCCTTTCTGCATATGTGAATCATAACGAAGTGAATCAGAACTTGCCGAATGCTCTGCTGAGTAACCGGCTGGTGGTAGTGGCAATAATCATAATGCCATGGATACAAGTTGGTAATAAAAAAAAAAAATTTATTATTATTATAACTTGCCCAATATAAATATATTTTGTTAATATTTAACTTATTCCAAATGATCTGATATTTAAATTCATTTCTATTTTCTAAAAATAAATAATTAATAATAATAAAAATTTGATTGTGTAATGGATTGTACACTGTCAGATCGTCAGATCGTTTAACCTTTGCAACCTTTGGAAAAAGAAATAAATATATTAATAAATAATTAATAATAATAAAAAATGATCACGCAATGGATTGTATACTGTCAGATCATCAGATTGTTTCAACCTTTGGAAAAGAAATAAATATACTAATATAATCACACATACCTTTTAATAATAGCAGTAACATCAGTGCTTGTAATCTTGAAATAATTGTCATCTTCTGGTCAATTGATATGATTTTAATTCTAAATTTTACATATGTTATTATTTACATTAATATATAAATGTATAAATAAAACCATTAATAATCATTAATAAAATTTTCTTTTCTTTTAACCTATATATATTACATATTAATAACATCTCCATCAGATCCTGCTAATGCATTAATAAATAAATACTTTTTAATTTAATCATTACACTTCTAAATATATAAAAAATAGATGAAATAAAAATTAACGAAGCTAACCTTTAAAAATATTAAAAAAATCAAATTAATTCCATTTTATTAATAGCCATTCTTGAAAAGAGTCTGTTACGCGATTTTGTTTTTGTTAAGTAAATTTTGTTTGATACAATCTTCTATTTCATCCAGCAATGTATATTAATATATAGAAGTTAATACTTTTCTATAAACGAATTATGTAATTTAAAAAAATAAACATTTAAAGATTGGAAATTAGAACTTAACTATTGCATTTATTATTATTATGTA